GAGCCGTAAGGCAGGCCTTGGTACGCCTCTGTTTCTCATTGGATCTTATCGCTGCCAGTCGCGGCCTCCTACCTCCAGTTCCCTACCACCTCCAAGCCCGCAGGCAGATAAACGGCGGGCGGGGCAGGGTGGCGACTTCCGGTTGGGAGAAGAAAGTTGGGCCGAAGGCGGGGCCGCGAAGAGGGAGGAGAAGGAAGAGGAAGAGGAAAGGCCGGGCGGTGGTGGCTGTAGGTTTTGCGGGAAACGGCGGCTTTCTTCCAAGTGGACGATGGATAGCCAAGGCAGGAAGGTGGTAGTGTGCGACAACGGCACTGGGGTAAGTGCCCGGCGGAGAGGCCGCGGCGGGCACAAGCCTCGGAGGGATGTGCGGGGGGCGCGCGGGCCCTCAGTGCCTGGGGCTAGTCTCTGGGCGCAGCCTGCGGGGGCATAGGGGCGCGGACAGGTGCTTCCTACCTCCAGAGATTTGAGGAGCAAACGAGCCGAGTCCTCGTCTCCCCGGAGCCCGCCATCCCGCAGCCAGCCCTGTGGGTGGCGGGCGAGCCTGGCGGCGGACCAATATCTCACCTGCTGCCCCTGCGAGGGCCGGCTCCGTGCAGGCGCGGGGTCTACTTGGCCAGAATGCGGGGAGGGGTAAAAGGCAGTGTGGTTTGTACGATCCTAAATGGACTTTCCCCCGGCTTTGCCAGTGTGTAAAAAAGGGGAAGACCGAGAGGCCTTCCTCTTCCTGTATAGTTGAAGGTACTGAACTGGAGGCAGGAAACGGGTTTAAAGAAAAAAAAAAAAAAAAGGAAGTGCTCTCAGGCGTGCAGTGGGCCTCACTCCTTCGCAGTGAGGTTTTATGTTGAGGAAGGGGGATACCAGATCGGCAGCGCATCATTTTTCGTTCTTTGCGTTGGTAGTTCGGTCCAGGTGCGGCTGCTGGAGACGACCATGCTCCATAGGATTATCTTGGGAGATCTAGGACCACGCAAGGCCCAAGTGTTCATTTCACTGACCCTGGGGGATGGGGGTGGGGAGTTAGTCAGTTTTGGTCTTCATCCCCTTTTTTACTTAAGTGCAGAATACAGATGTTAGCCTTTAAGATCCTAAAAAGTGAATATTGTAAAAATCTGATTAGAGCACTAATTTAGAAATTATTGAAAGTTATGTCATTCAGATGCCCTCCCACATTTTTAAAAATGTATTTCGAGCAACAGAATCAGCATTTTGGAAGATGAAAGTGTTAAGTATTTCGAGTAATTTCTATACTGGTCATTTTCCATCCTACATTATAGAGATTTCTAACCATTCTGTGACTTCTCTCCTCTTCCCATAAATGTGACATATGAATTGAAACAGATTTTACTTCAACTTTAAAACACTTTGGACTGGAATGTTGAGGGTAAAATAGCTGGTACTCACTTATGTAATACTGCCCTTGATTGAATTTGTTACTTTAAAAAAAAAAAAACCAAGCAGTAGTTATACTGGCTTCATCTGGGATAAGTTACAAATTGACAAGAATAAAAAGAGTGTTGTCATACAGTGGGGCATCCCTACAAATTGGAATACTTTTTTAAAAAAGGAAGCAGATCCACTGCTATGGAAACATGTCCAAGATGATTCCATATATGTTTGCATTCTTTATTAAAGGTATTCATGTGTCCATAAACTTGTATCTATATTTTGAAGCTTTGGAAGGATACATAAGAAATGTTCATAGTGGTTACCTGTGAGACTGGGGATAAGAGAGTAAGGGAAAAATGGTGAAGAATAATGTTGTTTCTTTTGTACTACAAACACATTCCTTTTACAGTTAAAATTCAGTTAAAGGTGCTTTTAAAAAGAAAAGTCTTCATTTTTGCTTCAAAGAACATTATACCCTGCATATTCTTACCATTTGATGACTCAGTAGGAAGTAAGGGAGCAAGTTGAAACCACAGTGCTAAGAAGAGGAAACTATATATGGTAAAATCTATTTCTTAAACACAACCTTCTTGCATACAGTGAGAGAACTAAGTCACTCAGTCTTCTAATGATTGGAGTGGGGAAGAGATTTAAAAGATTTAAATTATGACAAATGAATAGTTTAGAAAATAATGTTTTCTTTGAATTTTATCACATGGTTTAGATTTTTAAAAATATTGATTTTTTTTTTAAACAACAAAGGAGATGTCAGATTGACTTCACATAGTTTTATATTATTGATGAATGGATTATTTAAATTATATTCTTGTTATGGTAGCTCTTACTGGTTTCATATTTGAAATAAAAATACATACCAATGACTAATGCAGTTATTGCTGTTTTGATTGAATGCCCTAATACTGTAGGAATGCTAGCACTGGATTACTGTGGCGGTATCTGCTTCTAATAAGCTTCTGCTTAAGTAGAATAAATGATTTTGTTAATAAGTAATTGATGTCTTCAATTTGAATTAAAAGCCAAATTTTCTTTGTTTATAAAGCACAATAATATCTTTTAGGATTTTTTTCTGTAGTCTCAAGGATATAAAAATGGCATGATTTCAACATACCTTGTATGGCTTTACAACGGGGAGGAGAGAGAATCAAGATCATCAGCTCAAGGCTGATTTCTTTGAGGTGGAATGCAGACATACCTCCTTTCTCCAACCTTTTTACCAATTCTGACACTAGCTGTCCCTCTCATGGCACTCACTACTTGTCTGCTGGGTCTGATAGTTCCTTGCAATAATTACTCAGAATTCATACACCATATTCATGATGGTGAGGTTTATTTGGGAAGTAACAGTTTATAATTTAGGATCAGGAAAGTCTCAGGTTATAGTCCTTTGATCAGGACAGCTTTTTCTCAACCATGCCTGTATAGGCAGTCCTCTCTCAGCCCTTGGCCTAGCCTGACCTGACCTCTGACCTCTGTCCTGCTCTGGCAAGAGTTACAAAGCTCTTTAGCTCTGCCAGTAAATCCCTGGAGGCACCCCATTCCACTGGCAAGCCTCTTGCCTGAAAGAGCTCAGCTCTCTTGCTTGATAGGTCAGCATAGTTACTGTAGCTGTCTTTCCATGGTCCAAGAAGCCCACCGTGCCATCTTGTGCTGTCTTCTGTTTCTGCTGCCACCACTTCTCACCATTTCACATCATCCAGTGTTACAGCACTCTGTCTTCTGAGTCTAGGAGGTTCTCAGCACGGGGTCTGTGGGTCCAAAATACGCCCTTCACTTCTGACTCTTCTTAAAGGTAGTAAAGTACCCCTTTCCACTGCCTTTAAGCCTGTTGTTGTTGTTTGCCGTCCAGTCGGCCCCAACTCATAGCGACCCCTCCTTGGGTTTCCGAGGCAGTATCACTACGGAAGTAGGATTGCCCAACCTTCCTTCCGAGGAGTGGGGTGCAAAACAGAGCAGTCCTCTCATTAGGGTTTCATATGCCTTGGAAGGAAGGTTGGGCAATCCTACTTCCATAGTGATACTGCCTCGGAAACCCAAGGAGGGGTCGGAAACCCAAGGAGGGGTCGCTATGAGTCAGGCTGACTGGACTGCAAACAACAAACAAACAAAACAATGCTTTATTTGCATAGTCTCACCCCCCCCCCCCGCAAGGGAGTACCTTATTTGCATTAGGAAAACTGTCCAGTCCCCTGATGGGTCACAATCACCTCATTGGCATAGTCCCATGCAATCATTTTGTGGAAGCCACAAGACCATGGCTTGAAGGACCACACAAATTTACTGTACTGCAAGGACCCTCAAGTTTTGTCTTCTAACTTAGGCACTTGGCAAATGTTTTGTTGCTTAAAATACATTCAAACAAGAATTTAAAGATACAAACTATCCATCTGAACAACTATAATCAGAAAACATTAAGTGATATGATTATTGCTTTTCCATTCTGCATGTTCTGTGTGTGTAGCTCAGAATGAGAGGAGAGCCATGTCAACCCTTAACGTCCCTCTGCACCAGCTTAGGCCTCCCACCTTCAACTTCTGTTATGATTTCTCACTTACTAATATCATCTATTTGTATTTAATATGTAATAGACCTTAAAAACTTACAGATTCTCTTTTCAGTCATTCATTCTATAATTTTCTTTGGAAGCATTTATACCCATATAATTGAGACTTTTCATCATGGTGAATGGATACTTTTGACCCACCCATCATCCGTATCTGTTCATTACTTTGAGGTAAACATAAGCATGTAATCTTGAAGTAGTATTTAATTGCTATATTTGTGATATATATGTAACTTATGACTGATGCTGATATTAGGCCTATGATCGTGACAATTTTTTTTATTGTTACTGTGATTTGGATTTGTTTTCAATTCAATAGTTCGTACGCATTTTGTTTCATGACATCGATTGCAACTCTCATCATGTAACAACTCTCTTTCCACTTCTTCCCTGGGGTTACCTTTTACCTATGTCCTTCTTTCTGGTGGTACAGTGCCTAAGGCATTTGCCTACTAACCAGAAAGTTGATGGTTTAAACCCACCAGCCAGCCACTCCACGGAAGCAAGACTGGGCAGACTACTTCCGTAAAGAATTAATGTCTTAGAAACCCAATGGGGGTCCCTGTGAGTTGGAGTCTACTCTGTGGCAGTGGGTTTGGTTTTGGTGCTTTCCTATGCATTCCTGCCCTCTGAGCTATTTCCTGGTATAAATGCTGCTCTTCTGATCTCCCTTGGTTGATTGTTCTAAGGAGTATAACTACCTGGTGTAATTGTTTGGTTGTTTATTGTTTGACTGGAAGCCACAGGAGTGAGTTCAATTACAGGCTGGAAGGGTAGCTAGGGGCTATAATCTCAGGGGTTTCACCAGTCTCTGTCAGATCAGTAAGCCTGGTTTTTTTTAAGATTCTGAGTTTTGTTCCAATTTTGACCCTGGCAAATTTATTATATAGAAAATTAGTATATGATTGAGATAATGATGATAACAGATTCTCTATCCTTTCATATAATTTCTGATCACGTCAAGTGAGCTGGATTTGACTTAGGACAAAAGAGAGTTTGTGCCTCTCTTTTGTGTTGCATGAGTTGTGACTTAGGAGCTCTGGTAGCGTAGTGCCTAAGGCACTTGACTGCTAACCAGAAGGCTGGCGGTTCAAACCCACCAGCCACTCCTTGGAAGGAAGATGGGGCAAT